TTTTCTTTTATAATTTGGTTGGAGTATCGATTTTTTTAATTAAATTATAAATATGAAAAAAGTAAAGGTATTTTAACCTTTTCATTGACGTTTTTTATATTTAAATTATGAAATCATTCTTATAATGGTTTAAACTTTTGATTTTAACTTTAAATTAAGTTTCTTAAATTAATAAACACTAACTAGTCAAGGTATTATTTATCTTAATTCCTATAAATTAAAGAAGTTAAAGAATTTGTATTCCAAGTTCCAACCCTCCTAAGTTCTATAATAAAAATAATATAAAAAGACCTCTGCTAAGGACTATATATTCCTTAATCATTTCTTAATTTAATTAAAAGTTATACCAACATAACTTTTAATTTATTTTTGATTTTTCTTAACATTTTAATGAGAATTGAGCTGGAGATTAGAGTCTACAGATAAAAATTCTCCGAAATTTCGGAAGAGAAGGGAAAAGAGCTGAGATGAGAAGTAGAGAAAAAAAGAGAAAAGGAAAAAAAGAGACGAGAAGAGAAAAGAGAATCAAGAGAGTAACTTCTTGTATATTATCACAGATCGCAATTTCACAAGTGGATTTATTTGTTTTGTTATTTCTATCCACCTCATATTCTTCTTCTTATTTATGGTATATTTGGAACCGTGATTTTCATAGAGTATAATTGAATTTGAACATTTCAAGTTCAATAGTACTATTTATTTTTACAAAATAAGTATGCAATTTAATTAATTCTAAATACATATAATTGGGTTCATGTATTTCATTGTTTTAAATCTATGTATTTAAAATATCCTCCAATCTCATGTATTTCAAATTTAGATTTATGTATTTGAACTCTCTCATTTTCTTTAATGAACAAATTGAATATTTAATTCATTGTTGCTATATTAATTCAATATGAATTTGAAAACACATGTTCCTCCAATCTCATGTATTTCAAATTTAGATTTATGTATTTGAACTCTCTCATTTTCTTTAATGAACAAATTGAATATTTAATTCATTGTTGTTATATTAATTCAATATGAATTTGAAAACACATGTATTTAAAATTATATATATTT